GGGACAAAGGCTCCTTCTATGATTAGTTGGTATTACAGAAGAAAGAGGAGAGGTTCGTTAGTTGGTCTGCTAAGTGTGTTTGCTTTTGGACGACCCCAAGCCTTTCTTTAGGCTTACGTCACTGACTTAGACATGCAAAAATCTCCGCTCAAAGACAAATTTTTCGGTTGCACTTATCCCTAGCCAGCTCTACTATAGAGCTTTTTTTTTTTTTTTTTTGGTCGAAATACTATAGAGCTTTGGGAACCGACTTTTAAGGCAATTATCGCTGCAATGTTGCAGAGATAACTTTTATGGATTTTTCTGCACAAACTTGAGTGGACTCCAACACATCCTTTGCCGCCCAAGTGCCAGATCTTTTTTGACCAAAAAAAAAGTACCAGATCTTCTGTAGGATTTCTCTAGACTTCTCTAGCAAATGCCCATGCTAGAAGACTCTAGAAATTGGATCAGCATTTTAATACTGTCAGCCCGTATCAGAGTGTCTAAGTTTATTGATCTGAAGAAAATATTTAGCTTATGTCCCCTGTGATGGGAGATAATTTGAAATTGAAAATATTCTCAACTCAAGACACACAAGGAAAAGGAAATCAATAGACTTCTACGTTGATTTCTTTCACTTTATCTCCCATTGTCAACGTAATTACAACACATACCTTTATATAGACTAGTTACATGACTACTGAACAAACTTTTAAATGACTCATAAATAAGACTAACATTCCAATGAGATAGACTCTTAGGAACTCTCAGAACATTAACTAAATATCGAGACGTGAAGAGATGCTTGGAAAGCAACAATATAATAAAGACTCATGCACCGAACAATCATCGACATTATCGACATCGAGGTAATTGCTCGACAACTTCAACCTCAACTCGACAACTCATCGATAGTCTCGACATTCATGAATTTGGTTTATTTTCTAACACTCCCCCTTAAACCAAATTCTCTTCCATCAATCATTCCAAGGAGGCTCTTCAACTTCCGAAATGCATCGACCTTGAGAGGTTTCGTAAAAATATCGGCTACTCGGTCTCTGGTCTTCACATGAGAAATTTTGATCTCTTTCTCTTTTACTTGCTCTCGAATGAAGTGATATCGAACATCGATATGTTTACTTCGTTCATGAAAAACTGGAATTTTTGCCAAAGCAATCGCAGAAACATTATCGACAAAAATCTCTATTAATTTCACTTGCTCCATATGAATCTCTTTGAGTAGCCTTCTCAACCATTTCGCATGGCAAACACATGAGGACGCTACTACATATTCAGCTTCACACGTTGATAGAGTAACACTGGGTTGCTTCTTTGATGACCACGTAAAAGCAGTGTCACACAAGAAAAATACAAAGCCTGTAGTGCTTTTTTGATCATCTATGTCTCCATCATAATCACTGTCTGAATAAGTTCTAAGCTGAAATGATTTAGACTGAGTGTAGTGTAAGCCATGATTGATAGTACCTTTGATGTAGCGAAGTATCCTCTTTGCAGCTTTAAGATGAGTCGACTTTGGTTTCTCCATGTATCGACTCACGATTCCTACACTATACATGATATTTGGTCTCGTACAAGTCAAGTATCTCAAGCTTCCAATGAAGCTTCTATAATATGTTGGATCCACATCTACACCTTCATCAAACTTTGAAAGCTTGATTCCACACTCCATCGGTATATTGACCGGCGTACAATTTTTCATGTTGAATTTTTCAAGGATATTTTCTGCATATCCTTTGTGGGAAATAAAAATCCCTGCTGCACTTTGCTTCACTTCGATACCAAGAAAATAATTCACGAGACCATTATCCATCATCTCAAATTTCTTCACCATCGACGCCTTAAATGCATCGATCATCGATGGATTATATCCTGTAAAAACAAGATCATCGACATATAAACATGCCAATAAAACATCACCTTTTTCAAGCTTCAAATAAAGTGCATGTTCATATGGACATTGAGAGAAACCATTTGTCTTGAAATAGGCATCGATTATGGAATTCCACGCTCTCGGTGCTTGTTTAAGCTCATATAGAGCTTTCTTCAACCTCAGCACTTTGTCTTCATTATCTTTCACAATAAGCTCCTCGGGTTGCTCGATATAAATTTCTTCATCAAGGATGCCATTTAAAAATGCTGATTTGACATCCATTTGATAGATTTGCCAATCATTTTGAGCTGCAATAGAAATTATTAATCTAATCATTTCCATGCGAATAACAGGGGCAAAAACCTCATCATAGTCGATTCCGGCCTTTTGCTTGTATCCCTTCGCAACTAACCTGGCCTTATACCTTGTCACTTCTCCTTTCTCGTTTTTCTTGGCTTTATACACCCATTTCACATCGATCGATTTCTTGTCCTTCGGAAGAATCGCAAGTTCCCATGTTTGATTCTTCTCGATGGCTTCAATTTCTTCATTCATGGCTTTTCTCCATTTTTCTTCTTCGGCAACATCATCATAGACAAGCGGTGCAAAATCTGCAAGAAGGCATACAAGGTGAAGCTCATTGGTAGCTTCATAAATTTCAGACAATCTCCTCGATCTTGGCACTAGCGGTTCATCGACACCATTTGAAGAGGTTGGTGGTGATGAACTTGAAGAAGATATCGAAGCAGAAAGTGGAGAGATCCTTCAACTCCATTTGTCTTGAATTATCACGAGCATTTGCTTCGTCTTCAGGATTGTCTTGCCATATGCCTTCTTCATCGAACTTGACATCTTTGCTTATATATACTTTCAAAGTGTTAGGATCAAATAATCAATAAGCTTTGGATGAGGTATCATACCCGATGAAAATGAGCTTTTTGCACTTGTCTTCCAACTTCGATCTTTTTTTGTCCGAGATATGAGCATAGGCAATGCTCCCGAAAATTTTCAAGTGAGAAATACTTGGTGTTCTCCCGCTCCATGCCTCTTGTGGAGTTACGCCTTCAAGTCCATTTGTGGGATATCTATTTTGAAGATAGACGGCACACATAACAGCTTCACCCCAAAGCTCTTTGGGCAAATTCTTGCTTTTCAACATGCTTCGAACCATGTCAAGAATGGTTCTATTTTTCCGTTCAGCCATGCCATTTTGTTTGGGAGAATATGGAGCCGTCAAGAAACGTAGAATTCCATGATCTTCACAGAATTTGTTGAATGTGGCGGAAATGAATTCTCCTCCACGATCGGTTCTCATGGCTTTGATGAAATAGCCACTCTCTTTTTCAACTAACCTCTTGAATTATTTGAACACATCAAACACTTCCGATTTCTCCTTCAAGAAATACACCTAGGTTTTCGAGTAAAATCATCAATAAATGTAACAAAGTATCGGCGACTACCATATGTTTGAGGAGTGATTGGGCCACACACATCAGAGTGAATAAACTCAAATGGCTTTTTTGCTCGATAAGTTGCTTCCCTTGGAAAGCTTGTTTTGGAATGCTTGCCAATTACGCACCCTTCACATAATTGATCGGGATGATTAATATGTGGTAAGCCATAAACTATCTTTCTTCGAGAAAGCAAATTGAATCCGCCAAAATTGAGATGGCCGAACCTCAAATGCCACAGCCATGAAGGATCATCCACACATGCCTTTAAACATCGAGCCATTTCATTTTTTATATTAAGAAGTGTTAAAATATGTCTCGAGTTTGAGCTTGATAAACGAAACCCGACTCGAAATTATTTGTGTGGAGGTCTAAATATTTTGAATAGGATATTTCCTATTTTGTTTTGATATCAAATTAGAATCGGCAAAGCAAAATAGAGAAGGAAAGATTATCGACAAACATATATTCAAATATTGCAGCCTTTGGACTTGAAATTGGAAAGTCCAACGTGTGGACAATATTCGGTCAACTTGAATTGGATTGACCGAAACTCACTGGAATTTGGTTTCCTTATCCTGTACGTACAGCGGCTATCTTTGACGGTTTGTTACAATCCTTCAAGCGGTGGAACTACGAACATTATATATTTGGGGTTGCTCTCTTGGACGATAACAGAGAGGGAGAAAATATTGAAGCGCCGTTTCGTCGAGTGCTTGTGGATTATCTCCATGAGTTTGTTCGTGGAATTACACCAAGAGTTCAAGTGTTCGTAGCGATTAAATCTTGTGATAAGATTTGTGTACAATTCTTTTGCGAGATTGAGAGATTATTTCGTGAGGAATTGTGGGGCTAAACACTGCGTGAGCTATTGGGTATAATTGGGGCTTGGGAAACACTTAGAGTGTTTGAGTGACTCGAGTGTGGTTGTAATCTCCGTTGTATTGCTTGATCTATAGTGGAATTCTATGCTGCTCTCCCCGTGGACGTAGGTCACTACGACCGAACCACGTAAATCTGGTGTCCGATTTATTTTCTTATTCTGTCAATTTTATTGTTCGATCGCTTGGCTTTCGCAACAAGAAGAAACATCCAGTTCTTTGACATCTTCACATTTGCAATCAGTTTATTATTTTGGTCTCTTAGCATAAGGCTAAGATCTTTCATGTGGATAGTATAACCTTTCTCAAGAAGCTGTCCAAACTCAAAATATTGCTTGACATTTTTGGAACATAATAAACATTAGAAATAAACTGATGTGCACCATTCTTCAGACTAATCAAAATTGTACATTTGCCTTCAACAAGAATTTTAGAATCATCACCGAACGAGACTTTCCCTTTGATTGTCTCATCCAATTCGGCAAACATCTCCTTTCTTCCACACTTGTGGTTGCTTGCACCGGTATCCAAGTACCACGTATCATTTTGTCTTTCTTCATCTTCTTTGAATGCCAATAAAAGAACTTGATTGGCATCATTTACCAAGCTCACATTTTCGTCTGCTCCGCTATTCTCTTTGTTCCAACAGTTAGAAGCATAATGGCCAAGTTTATTGCAATGATAACATCGAATTTTAGATGTATCATACCATTGCCCTCTCGAGTTTTGTCCTCTCCCACGAGTACCTCTTTGATTTTGGTATCTTCCGTCATGTCGAGCAATATCTCCACTGCTTCATCCACGACCTCTTCCTTGAAAGCGACCTCGCCCTCGACCTCGATCTTGATGAGTCCCACGAGTTTCCATGGGATCTCTACTTTGCTCCTTATCATCTTGAATGGTTAATCGAGTTTGGAGTACTTCCTCCACTGGCTCATTCTTGTTTCTTTTAAATCTTTCTTCATGGGCTTGCAATGAACCCATGAGCTCATCGATCATCATGGCATCAAGGTCTTTGGACTCTTCAATCGCAACGCCAATATAGTCGTACTTTTTGTCTAAGGATCGAAGAATCTCCTCGACAACACGAACATCTTCAACATCTGCTCCATTTCTTTTCATTTGGTTGACAATTGCCAACACTCTTGTGAAATAATCGGCAATCAATTCAGATTCTTTCATACGGATTGTCTCGAATTCACCTCTCAAAGTTTGAAGGCGAATCTTCTGAACTTTTTTAACTCCTTGGTGTGTGTTGCAAAGAATCTCCCATGCTTCCTTAGAAGTAGAACCATTCGACACCTTCTCGAACATCGAATCATCTAAAGCTTGATAGATGATTGACAGGGCATATTGATCTTTTGATCGAACTTTCTCTAAGGCATTCGTCTGGTTTTGATTCAACACGGCGTCGTCCTCTGGCTCATCATAGCCAGTGTTGACAACTTCCCACACACTATAGGTGCCGAGTAAGGCTTTCATTCTAGCAGCCCAATTGCCATAATTTTCTTTAGTAAGACGAAGGTATTGCAAAGGAAGCTGATTGTTTGTTGAGGCCATGATCACAAACCGTAAGCTCTGATACCAATTTGATGGGAGATAATTTGAAGGTGAAGATATTCTCAACTCAAGGCACACAAGGAAGAGGAGATCAATAGACTTCTACTTTGATTTCTTTCACCTTGTCTCTCATTGTCAACGTAAATACAACACATACCTTTATATAGACTAGTTACATGATTATTGAACAAACTCTTAAATGACTCATAAATAAGACCAACATTCCAATGAGATAGACTCCTGGGAACTCTCAAAACATTAACTAGATATCGAGACGCGAAGAGATGCTTGGAAAGCAACAATATAATAAAGACTCATGCACCGAACAATCATCAACATTATCGACATCGAGGTAATCGCTCGACAACTTCAACCTCGACTCGACAACTCATCGATAGTCTTGACATTCATTAATTTGATTTAATTTCTAACACCCTGCTCATTGAGCTGTGTTTCATAATTATGAAAGCCAAGTACATGTAAACAAAAATATTACTAAGGATCACATATAAGTGATAAGTGACTTTGTGGAAAACTCACATGTATTCTGTTAATTAGGTCAGCAAACTTGCGAAGTTACTCGGGGGTCAATTAACCGCATATGTGATGGATGAATGAGATTTCAGAAAGCACCAAGAACCAGTACATGTAAATGGAGACTATTCATACATTCACTTTCTTATTTTTGTTTATGATATGCATATCACTACTGGTTTAGCTTACAGAATTTCCCTTCTTTAGCATGAAGAAATACTCCTCGACCGAATAAATTGAGCTTCAAATCGCCAACCGTTACTGATCTAAGAGTCTAGACACCAACAGTAGTAATCAGACCTCGAGATGTTAAAAAGTTCTTCAGGGCTCATCCTCTCGAGCTCACTTTGCCTATACAGCATGAAATTGTCCGCCAGCGGATTGTCCTCTTTGACATGAGCTTGAGATCTCATTCTCATGTAAAGCCTCATCGTGGCAACGCAATCGTCATAAGGGTCTTGTATACCGGTCTGAATGTCATAACTGTGCCCACCAAAGTTTCATCTACTGTTATGTTCGTAATATCGCGAGATAGAAAATGAATAATAGATATAATCGAGTGCTTGATTACCCAAGGTAGGCTTGTGTCAAGTATTTGAGAGAGTTGCTCAGCTTGCTTGTTTTCATCAGTGGAGGATATTGTGCAGTATCTCTGCACTCAGCCATGACAATATTAGTGTCAATGAATAATTTCATCTCTGAAAATGAAGAACGAAGAACTAAAATTTTAGGAGCTTTTAGGGAACAATTTTTTTTCCTCCTTTTTCTTTTCACTATTTTACCTGATCATTATTGGTGGATAATCTAGTTGCAGACGGCCAAGATCATGGTCTAAGCCGTGTCCCACAAGAATCCTGGCTTTACTGCCTTTGGGACGAATCTTCCACATCGGTTCACCATTACAGAGAAATTCTTGAATTCTTTTTTGGACTTGCTTCAGTGGCATTGCCTCCTTCAAGTACTCTGGCCTTATTCCGGTTGTTTCATACCTGAAAGTGAGGCACTTCTTCAGGGTTCTCATCAATGGAAAGCACATACAAACTGCGGGATCAGATCACATGGACTATGTCATATCCGAGAATTTGGCTCTGGATAAAGAAGCGTTTAGCTCAGTTCATACAATAATGTTCAATAATCAACAAGCTTAAGCTTTTGGTAAATTCAGCTGGCGATCCTACTCTTTAACACAGGAAAATACCTTAATTAGAAGTCTCAAAGAGTCTGCACAATTGAAAATGTACCTGAAGTTGGTGACCGGAATGGGAGGCTTGACATAGGTGTGGAAGATGATGTTTTCATATTCGTCGATGATGCAGACCCTAGCGCACAGGTCTAGGGACCCATCACTGCCACCTCCAACCATCTTGCAAGCCAGTGCAACCACCTGTGGCCCTCTGGTTCGACCGTTGTCAATGGTCAGTTTGTCGTGGATCCCCAAGTTAGCCAAGCGAGCCAGTAGTCCCTAAAACACATGAGGCAATGAATAATCATAAGAAAACATATGAACATTTCTCCAGAGTTATTTTCCTTCTAGATGACGAGGTTTTTTGGTTGAAGGTTATTACAGCATTAATGCCGGAGAATTGACATCTTCCTTCATGCGCTCGACGAGAATTAGGGTTGTCAAGTATGGTCAGGCAGAATCTGCACCCGAGGATGCTGAAGATGTTCTTGCATTCTTGTTTTGGCAATGGCCCTATAAATCAGAGGAGTACAAAATCATCAGGTGTATATAATTGATTTATAATTAGTTCTTACACATACATAGAAGCTAGGGGATTTCATTAGCCGATATGGTGTTACTACATATAATCTAGGATGATAGACGCATATGCCAACACGCACACGCGCGCACACACACACACACACACACACACACACACACAATTTTATATAACATGAAGGAAAAGCTTGATTCGTTTTGAGGATATGGGAATTATACCAATAAGATGCTCCCTAAGAGACTCGAAAGATCTGCAGTGCTTCTTGCAGATCCCGCACATCGGCTCATGGCCAGAGTGATGCGAAATTTTCATGTGCTCCACCAGGTGATCCATCCTGTTGAACTGTCTGAAGCATGCTGCACATTTGTTTCTGCTCAAAGAAAATATAATCAGAGAGTAATATGGACACGAAAGCACAACCTTATGTCTAAGCCTTACATGAATACATATGTTGTAGAAACTGTATTCTTAACTCTAGTGAGATTCTTGCACTTCATCTATGTTAGACAATCAAATTCCTAGATAGACATATCATCTATACAAAGTAGACAAGCCTGTAAGGTTTCCATGCGGAGATGTGCATTTCATCTAAATTTGCGTGCGCAAAAATGTGCACGCATGCGCACATGTGAGAGAGACGGAACAGAAAACCTTAAAGTTTCCGTAGAGTCGCTTCGATAGTCCATGTGGTTGCTCTCGACTAGTCGTGTGGCCGTGAGGCGGCGATGAGAGAGAGAGATGCTACTTAATTATGATGAAGAAGACCCGTGGGGAAGAAGAAGGGGAGTGTGGAGGGTATTTATAGTAGGAGAACATGGAAACCGAAAAAGATTGCTTCCAAGTTGGTCTTAAAAGAGATGATTCCTTAAGGCCATCTAGTTTTGTCTGAACTCTGTGTGTGTGCGTGTGTTGGCGGTGGGTCGGTTGAGGTGGTGATGCAAAAGATTTGGACTGGAAGGGCAAGGTGAATATGGATAGAGTGCCAGTTACTTTCAACGCTTGGACCGATATGAGAGAATAATTAGAGCATTATTAATGTACCCATATTGCTAACTTGGGCATGCAGGAATCACAATGACAATCTGTCGGTGTCATGCATTATACACAAGTGTGTAAAACATATGGTGGGTATCATATTTGGGATGTTGAGAATGTTCGAGATGCCGAAATTTCTTATTAGACATGTCTAGTAAGTGTATGACAAATTTACTTGGGTATAGAGAAACAAGTGACTCCACTTATGCATTTAGTGATATAGCTTTTTCGAATGCCCAATGAAATTTCCCATGTCAGTTTATAGATTTGTTTTGATGAAAGTACTTCTAACATGGCTCATTTTGTTCTCAAATCCTGAAGAATTCCATTCTCTGTCAAAGATACCCATTGAAAATTCTTAGCCAACGGAGAGGAAACGAAATACAGCCCAGTGAAAAAAAAAAGGTTTTGACCTCACCACTTTACCAAATATAGGATAAACCAGACAGAGTTTCTTTCCAATAGAAGGCAAGATATATTTGCTTTTTGAAATGTGAGATGACAAGTTGAGATCAACTTTAAGAGATGAAAGCAGGTACAGCACATATTCATCGTGCCACATCAACTGACAAGACATAAGGGTCGGCTAATTCATGCCGGAAAAAACTTGAGATAAGATCTAACAAAAGTTTACACAAAGCCAACATACAGCAGATAAGGTTATCTCTTCTAAGCCCTTGCAGTGTACAGTAGCTTAGGGTCTGTTTTTTAACGTTTATTTTCCTAGAAATAATTTCTTTTCAAAAATGGTTTTTTCTATTTCTATTCCCTAGGCAAGTTTCTGAGCAAATAAACGCGTTTAGTAACTGTAAAAAATTTCTATTCCCGAAATATAAAAAGAACATAAATGCGTTTGGTAGGACATTAAAAATTTCTACTCCCAATTTTTTCATTTAATTATAAAATTATCGGTTGAAACTTAACAATTCATGTTTGGATAAAATTGGACTAGAAATAGAATAAGAATATTATGATATAGAATTAGATGACCTTAATACAATCATAAAGAAAATTACTCCTTATAGACAAAATAAATACCGAGTGGTGGTCGAGGAAATTGCAGTTTAGGGGACTTAACAATTCATGTTTGGATAAAAGACTAGAAATAGAATAGTAATATATTATGATATAGAATTGGATGACCTTAATATAATCATAAAGAAAATTACTCCTTATAGACAAATCAAATATCGGGTGGTGGTCGAGAAAATTGCAGTTTATGGTATAAGATTTTAGGATTTTAGGATTTGGGGTTAGGGGTTAGGGTTTTAGGATTTCGATTTTGAGGTTTAGGGTTTCGTGTTCTGGGTTTTAGATATTGGATTTTATGATTTAGGGTTTGGGGTTTAGGTTTTAGAGTTTCGGGTTTGGGGTTTTAGGTTTAGCGTTTCGAGTTTTTGTTTTGGGGTTTTAGGGTTTGGGGTTTAGTGGTTTAGGGTTTAGGGTTTTATAGATTTGGGTTTTGGGTATTGGGGTTTGGGATTTAAGGTATAGGGTTTAGGGTTTATAGTTTAGGGTTTCGGATTTATGGTTTCGGATTCGGGATTTCGTGGTTTAACGTTTTAGGATTTAGGGTTTCGAATTACGATTTTAGGGTTTAGGTTTTAGGGTTTCGGGTTTGAAGTTTTGGGGTTTAGGGTTTAATGTTTCGGGTTTCGGGTTTATGATTTAGGGTTTATAAGGTTTAGGGTTTGGGTTTTGGGTTTTGGGGTTTGGGGTTTGGGGTTTTGGGGTTTAGGGTATCGGGTTTTTCATTTTAGTGTTATGGGTTTTAGGTTTGGGTATTGAGGTTTAAGGTTTTTGGGTTTAGGGTTTGAAGGTTAAGATTTAGGATTTTGGGGTTTAGGGTTTTAGGATTTAGGATTTGGGGTTTTAGGGTTTGGTATGAGAATATCTTTTTGAAGAGGGAGCGCTGATCTTGTTTCTCTATTGTTTCTTTTTTTGTTCCAAAAATAGAAAAATAGATTTTTTTACTTCTTATTTCTGTTCCAAATCTATTCCTTGATCACTTTTCTGTTCCGGGGAACAAAAAAACTAACTGATGTTTACTAAATGGATTTCTGTTTTTTTTCTGTTCCGAAAAATAAAAGAACAGAAAAATAGATAAATAGAAACATTACTAAACAGGTCCTTATCTTTTCTCTATTGCATTGTTTAGCAATTTCTAGTTTTAGATTCTTTGCTCGCATCTCCAAAGACAAAATCTCATATGAACTCATCCAATGGCAATGTGTTACAGAATTTACTGCAATAGGAAAATATATAGTATGAAATATGATCTTTTTAATGAACTTACCCCGACTATACTATAGTTTCTCATAACGTAATCTGTTTCGTAAAATGAGTTCAGATAATAATTACATGACGTTCGTGGCAAAGGAGTTTGACTTTTGACACATGGGCATGTCAGCAAAGACTGCTTTTTGACTGGGGCGGGTCCCGCTGGAATCTCTCGCTTTAGTTTGAAGATACCCGCAAAGGAAAAGTTATGCGGAGGAGTAGGACACGTCCAAAAAAAAGGATTAAATTTTAAGAATCAAATCTTTTTTTCCCAAGCTATTCTGGTCCACAGCTCACAGCTCTGCACGGCGCCATAGCCATCACACCCACTAAGTTCTTCTTTTCTGGTCATTTTTCAGTTTCAAAATGTCAAACCTCCCCCAAGGTAAATGGATAGCCTTTTCCTTTTCTTTGTTTACTTTCTTCCTTTTGCTTTTGTTGTAAAGGACAACTCCACCAACAGCTGTGGCATTGTAAAAGTTCCTTCTCTACAACATCAATGATCATAAACTGGTACTAGCATATATATGAACAGTAGTGGGTAAAAACCCTTTTATGATGAGTGTGAAGATATGGTTCCTATTCACTCTTTTCTTGAGTATATCCTTTTGCATCTACACTAGTCAGCAAAAATATGCACCGGGCGAGATAATAGCTGACCTAGCTTGTGTCACAGAGCTTTGCTTTTCGTGGTATGCATGACTTCGAACAATTTAGTGCGATTTGTATACGATCAAGACCCTACATAACAATTGCACAAGAGTTTTGAGTATACTTCGAAACTTAGATATTTGTTTTTCCATGATGAATCTCGCATGTATAATACATCGACGATCTAAAGCCATGTGGCATGAGAAAAGTCAATTGCGGAAGGAACCAGCAAGGGTAATGCTCCAAGTCATACCACGGAAACGATGACCTAATTGGTTTGGTAAATTGAAGCCGTTTGACAAAACCGAGGAGAGAAGGAGACAGTATCGGGTTTAAAACAATTCCGAAGTGATCTCCTGATTAATATCACGTTATGAGCAAGTATATGTCTCTCAGGCGATCGAGAAAACTCGCCAATATTTAAGAATGTGTGGAGAGGTTGTTTGGTGCGCTCAGATGAGAGATATATACGTCTCTAACATGATCTTGTCTCTGATTACTCTAGAGTATAAGTGAGAGAGCTTTGAAAGTGGCTGACCATATGCACCTTATCACAATTGGCGACATTGCGCATATACTTTTAGCCCATGAATGTGTGGTTCCTGTCCATACCCTCTACTACTCTTCAAGGAGCTGCGTCTTTTCCATCACATTCTCCTTCTTCTTCATGCAGATGAGAGAGAGAGAGAGAGATTCTCACGCATATTGTGCATTGTCTGGTTCTCTTCTTCGTACCCTTGAGGGGTCATTGAGATATGATGAGGCCATCATTTTTGGTCCATGCAAAAAAGCAATACATGTTTGTTAAAACCACATGAGAAGTCAAACGGGAAAGAGAGACCGAACCTTTGAAAGATAAAAAAAAATAGATGCGTCTGGAGCTCTCTTTGGGAATATTCATGCAATAAAATCAATTGTTTTTATGATGCTTTTTCCTATGTTTTTCCTTTCTCCGAATTGACACATTGACATTATTTGAGCATCCACGACGCATGATGAATAAAAATAAATGCGTCCCGATGAAAATACGAAAGCCTTCTTCCCCTTACTCGATCTAATCATTGTTGTTTTCTCGTTATAGGAAGTGTTTCAAACTCTAAGACCCCCAATTGATATGATTTAATAGAGCGAGACTAGACGACAATTTTAATTTATCGGGAGCTCACTCTCAAGACACGAAAATGAATTTCACAGCTTTTTGGTGTTGGGAGCACGCAGTATAAGCCCACTACTTTCACCTGAGGAAATCACCAAGAAGGAGCTCAAGTCCGAGCCCATCAACATACCCAGTAGGATCCAACTTCACTCAAAAGCTTAAACAGATGAGTTATGAGTCAACTAGGGTACTTAACTGCTCAACACCACACCGATTCTCTGATGTTAGAATTTCTAACACAACTCACACGTAAATCTCAATAATAGTCCGATGCTGAAGATTCAAGTTAAGATAAGTTGATGCGGAAGGATACCACAATGGAGGAGGAGCAGACTTAACACTGAGCTCACACGTGAGAGGGAGACTGTTGATATCCATGTGTAAGTTGTGTTAGGAAGTCCTACATCGAAGAATTGGTGTGGTGTCGAGCAGTTTATATATCTTAATCGGTCCATAACTCATTGACTTAAGTTTTTGAGTAAAAGAGAGTCCAACTGAATATGTTGACAAATTTGGACTTGGGCTCTCTCTTGCGATCTCCCCAGGTGAAGGTATCGGATTTCTGTTACACGCTCCCAACATATGATATAAGAGCCAATGGTAGATTGGTGGAGCCCTAATATATTCCGTTGTTTGATG